AGTAGACTTAGCAAAATAAGATGTATTATTTTGAAAATTTTGAGCCATATTTATTTTGATCTTAGCATAAAAAAGATTTGAGATTATATTTTTTGAATACATGTACCATATTCTAAAATAGTTTTTATATCAAACCACAAATGATGTTAATGAATGATAGTCAAAAGACGTTATCAAATGTCGTGTGTACACATTGTGAGGCACGGTCGCCGGTTCTGGGGGGGGGGACTGCAGGCGTAGGATATGCTCCCTTTCTAGTTTCAAAAAGCATGTTGTATTGCAGTCAAAGAAGAGTAAGTAGCAGTGTTAAAAAAATGGCAATGAAAAAAGTTCGACCCCCTCTCCTCCCCCCCCCGCCCACACACACAAAATAGTGTTTAAGTACTTTTTTTGCATGTCAGGGTTTTTCAGGACTTATATTTTTCTCTTTCAATTAGCCTCCCCCCTCCGTACTTTCAATTTGCTTCTGACACCAATGTGAGGGGAGGGGAAAGGGGGGAGTTGAACAGGCTCTTCAATGCATATACTCAATACTTGTAACGGTCCTGAAGCGAATTATGAAATCAGTTTGAATAGTCTTTTTGAAAATAAAAACGGCTACAGTGTTTTATCAATCGCGTTGATGATAACGTAGTTTGAGGGAGGGGGGGGTGGGTTATACCGTTATACCGTGTAAAGGTATATGACAAATTCAGAATATCATTAAAATATCCTGATATTAAGCGAGAGGAAAAAGAGAAAGGAAATTTCCTACAAATATTTTGAAACAAAATGAATTTAATTTTAAAACAAAATAATTAAAATGAGATATTTTATACTTGAATTTATTTATTCATTTTCTTTTTTTTTAATAAATATTTTTCTAAGAAGTGATAGAGGTTTACAGCAGTTTAGTATTTTCAATAGAAAAATTGCCATTTGCTATTTTCCAATGCATGACTGTGGCTTATTTAACCACAAACAGAGACGGAAATTGTATTAAATGGTTGAGACATCGGGATCGAGATGCCTTTCATATCTTGATACGGATACGGATACGTATACGGATACGGATACGTCAGATAGAACAATCTCTATTACAAGCTTGAAATGTACGTTACCTACTCATATTCTGAGGCAATCGTGTCTTTATAGTGGTGATTGCGACATATAACACAATGTGATTACATAGAGAATCTTTTTTTTAATAAACTGAAACAAAACGATGAATTTTTAGATGAATTTTAAGCTTTTTATTAAACAGAAATATATCTTGAAATGTACGTTACATTTACGTAGTTTTCTAAATCGGCATGGATATATGTTAAAAAAGACAGTAACTACAAAATAGAATTTTACTACATGTACATGTTAGGTTCCAGTATCTATAGAAAATGACAGGATTCCAAACTGATCGCTCTAAACCAAACAGAGAGAAGAATTTAAAGCATATATTTAAAAAATTTTTTATACATCTGGATCAAAAAGTAACCATTGTTTTTTGAAAGGAAAAATCAAACGCACGTTCGTATGCCGAGAAAATATGTTGCTGACAGAGTTGGTAGGATGTGCTGGTGTTAAGATGAGCTATTCCAATTGTGATTTTAATGACTACATTTTTTTTTTTACATATCTTTTTGGACATTGAAGAAAGAGTAACGTACATTTCAAGCTACATTTCTGAATAAAATCACCCTCTGCTTTATCGTCTTGTCATTATTCCATGTTTTATAATTTGATGAAAAAAAATCTGGAAACAAAATCTTCAGATACTTTCTTTCAAAGGTAAATGATAGAAAAATTGTTTTCTTGAACTTCATTTTTAAAAAAAATCAGAGAGGCATTTGTGCCCTTATATTGAGAATGGGTGATAGTATATTGATTACTCCATTAAATATGAACAAAAAATACTTGAAAACGACTTAAGAGTTTCCAAATCCCCCCTTTGTATTTAACCGTACGTGTTCCAAAGCCTTTGAGCCCCCTTCCACCTAAAATCACTCCCGAATCCTGTCATTATCAACTCGCACTTCTACCTCAACATCCCTCGGCACACCATCAAACATAACTGAAGAAATTCGTGTCCGATTTCATCGAACACTTTGTTTTAGCTTCTTAGCACTTATAAGAACTTAGTATTTTCCCCTAACATCGTCTATTCCAGCTTTATTTGGTATACTAATAATATTTTCTCAATTTATAAAAAAAAAGCATTATTACAGATTCAAAGTAGGATTTTAGTAAAAAATACATTCTTAAGCCAAAATATAATAATTTTGATATTACAAAAAGTCCTAACATATTTCTATGTAATTTCAGGTAAAATACAAGAAAAATACCTAACAGTAATTTGTTCTTAAGTGTAAATAATGAAATGCATAAAAATAATAAATCACAAAAAACAGTTTGAAAATATTAATTACATCTATAACACAATTATTAAAGTATATAAAAATAAGTGTCCTATCTGAAAATATATGACCAAGATGAAATATTTTTCTACGATGTTTTATTCTTGAGGTTCCAGCATAAAGTGACGCGCTGGGTACCCGACGTAGAAATTAACTTGGTCAAGGCGAGGAACACAAAGGGAATTAACTAAAAAAACATTGAGTAATCTACGAGAAAAATTAACCATTTTTGAATTAAAATAACTTTTTAATATATTCTATACTAAATTCGGACGTTTATCTGTGAAATTCTTTATCTGTTTTTAATATGTGCTTATTTGTAGTAAATCGTGTCTTATTTATCTCATTCCCTTTGAAATAGGATTAAGACATTCCAATAGACACTCTGTGACTCTGTCAAAATAATTGTTGCTCGTTAGGTGTTAATGCCTCGGGATTTGTTAATCCTTTACCAATAACTTTATTTGTATAATTATTTTATAAGCTCTTTCATGTCCACTCTATCAAAGAAACACGTCCATCAATTAACTCAGCTAGTGTCATAAGTCAATTATTGTTTACTCTCAATCTTACAAATATCTTTGTCCATTATAATCTCTTCAGTTTGGAGGCCCGATGCTCTACCGGCCATGCACATCCAACTCGATTAAGTCTCGTAAGATATTGTTAAAATTCATGTTTGTTATTCACTGTCGTCTTTAATAAATTCGGAAACCTGATTTACCAATTCTTGGACTTTGTATTGGAAGATCATAAGGAATACGGCATCTTTACCCTTTACGTTTTATTACGGCCCCACAGCGCCACTACTTTGTTATACCCGCCAACATACCTTCTTCCACGTTTACATTCGACAACGGATTTAGTCCAGGAATCAGTATTCATAACTTATAACCAAATCTAACTGGTTATAATTGGTGGAGAATCCGGGTAAAACAACTTCAATTGACAGTACCAAGGCCAACAGTACCCACCATTTTATTAAGGATGTTACTTTCGAGGACGTATTTTCCCGGAGGCACAATGTAAGGCGATCTTTCGACTAAATTTCGACTGAAATTTAAATCTGCTTAAAAAAAAGTAAAATACAAACGGACAGTAGTGAATTTAAATATGTCCGTTAATCAAGAGTGGTCTATCACTTAAAAAAATACTGAATGTTAATACCCGCTAGTGAAGCAGACAAAGAGATCATGACGTTATAAGAGACGTAATTTACGCTTGCTTTCGTGCGCCGGTGTACACTTATATTCTTTTTTTCTTAATTACTATGTTACTTAAAATGTGCCATTCTACTCAACATGTCATGAGTTATCCTATCTAAGCCATCTGTCACTCATGCTCAGAATTGTGCTAATTGCCACTGTTATAATTTATTATTTATATGTTACATGAGTCATTGTTAATCAGTTAACTCCTAGGCTTCGGATTGTTCGGGTGCAATTTTTGGATTTCAAGAATTCACCCTACCGACCTAAGTATATAATAAAGTGCTGTTCCATCGTTAGCATTTTTATGTTTTATTGTTGCCGGGAAGTTTGACACCTATTTTTCTCGGTGATAATATCCTTCGGCCGGCAGCAGAGAATACAAATTGTTTGACGTCGTTCATGGTCCAGATTTTTCCAAATGGTCTGCGTTTATCAAACAGTATTCTACTTCTTACATACCGTAATTAACTGTTTTCGGTACAGATGAAAAACTCTCATTGAATATCGTGCAATTTAAAAATAACTTCTTTATTAAAATATGGCGTGTAATGTCACTTCTGTACTCTTTTTTTCCCGTCTCCGATGTATATTGACCATATCCAACACAATTTATTACATCTTCGTGCGCCTACTACGCGTTGACGACGTCATTTTCATCAAACTCAATTTCAATGATACTATGAAAATCATGACACCAATCGCCTGTTTCTAATGATATTTATATGAAATTTTGAATTTTAATATTAAGATTTCTATTCTGGTTTCAGTGATTCCAATTTGTGTTCAATGTATTACATAGTACTAAAGAAATAAAAGCAAATGTAATAGTTATATGCGTAAACTATTCCGAATTTTGTCCATGCGCCGACAGGCCTTATCGGCCTTCATATAAATCGTCCTAATATTATCAATATGAAAGATATGTATTCAAAAATTCACAGTTTTAAAGAACATTGACTATATTATGTCTTTGCAAAATTTGGTAAGTATTGGTTGCATAATTAAAAAATTATAAACTTTGTCTACGACTTTTTGGACAACCCTCGTATATACATAATTATTATTTTATTGCTAGCGATGTTTACGATAGAAAGATAAAAATACTTTCTTTTTATACAATAAAAGTACAGTACAACAAAAACAGCCATTGGATACTAAAATCTTACAAATAAAAGGCAAGAAAAAACTTTTCTGACTTTCTCTTCAAGAAATTGATAGGACATTATTTATCATGAAAGTTATTCTATGAGATTTACAATATCTTAATTGATGTAAAAAAATTAAAAAATGAAGTTAGAAGATAACAGGAAAAAGTAAGAACATGTTATCAAGAAAACTACACACATGAAAGTTCATTCAGAATGGATGACAATTCTGCGAAAATTTCACTCAACTCCGTAAATGATTAATTTGAATTCTAAAATTTCTTAAATGGAATTCAAAGGATAAAAAGGAAAAAAATAATATGTTTTAACGTAAATTATGCGCAGTAATAATGTAAAATAAATTTCTCTCCTTCAACACTAAGAAAAACAACACAGAAAAACAACCAAAAGAAATACATCAATAAAAAACTTTTCATACAATTTGTCCCCCAGGAGCTGTGATAATTTGTCCTTTAAAAGCAGTTTTTGACCTACAACAGAAACAACAAGGACACGCCCTCTTTCTGTCCACCGGGGGCACCTGCATCCTCGTGAACCCAAGAAACACCTGCTCCAGGGACGTCTGATGTACTGAATAATCTTCTACATTATATTCAGATTTTGTTTTCTCCATTTCTTTGAAAAGTTTTGCAAGTGATAAATTCCGATGCGGAATTTGAAAATCTAGGTAGCCCTGTTGATCATCGAATACTTCGGTTCCGGGAAACTCTTTGCCAATATGATTACGTAATGGACCAGAATCTACTGCGTTTCCGTTATTGTCACGTGCTAGTCTCACTGTCAAGGTGTAACCTTGCGCAAATTTGTTCTTTAAGTGTTGGGGACTCCCAAAACACACGAATCTTCCGTTTACCATGATGACTATTTTGGTACAAAGGGCATCACACTCCTCCATGCTAATAGGAAAATAATGTTTTTTGTTTTCATACAAAGGCCTCAAGGATTTCATTATGGCAATTAAATGTAAACTTCAAATTACATGCATGTGCCTATCTTTACTTCATGCTACATAAATGTATTCTTTAAGTATCCATTACAAAAGCTGCTGAAAAGTGTTTGATATCATTTGAAATTTGCAATTGCCTCCACTGTATCAGTTCATTGAAAATGTCATCTGACAAATAATGGAAAAGTTAAAATCAACATTACAAACCTGTGCGACGTCAAGACAAGAGTCCTACCACTAGCTCGGACTCTAGAGAGAATATTCCACATCTGTCTCCGCGCCGCTGGATCCACGCCTGTTGTAGGTTCGTCCAACATCAAGAATGGAGGATCTCCAATAAGCGCAATTGCAGTGCTCAACTTTCTTTTGTTTCCCCCACTGTATGAAAAGAGCACAAAGTCGGTATTTTTCCCAAAGGGTAAAAAGTAAACCAAGGAACGTACAAAAATGATTTTTCTCAAATAAATCATTATAGAGAGAAAAAAAAAGAAAATATTATACAACGTCAAGCTTTTGGATGAACAAGAATTACATGTACTCAAATTCAAAATTTGTTTTTTCTATGTCAACGAAAATATTATAACTTTAATATATTGATTGAATCATTTTCGAAGTATCAATTATCCAAAACACACATAGGTATTTAAAGGTGATTTAGAAAATGGGAAAACTGATGTTTACTGAAGTTGGCAATGATAGACAATCGCGTATCTTAAGAATGCAGACAAAAAGCAAAAAGAAGAATGTATGTCTAAAAAGGTACGAAAACATGTACACCTACCTATATGTCCCACACATCTTATCGGCATATTCCGTCAAAGTGACGGCGTCCAGTAGACCATTAATGACCCGTCTGATGTCTTTCTCCCTCACTCCTCTCAGTCTGGCATAAAGGGTCAGAATTTCCCTTCCCGTCAAACTGTCGATCAAAGCGTCAAACTGAGGGCAGTATCCAAGACAACGATGGACCTTTGAAAATGAAAGTTAATTATGCAAGTATTCAATTTTTCAAATTGCAATTTTCTAAATTTTCTCTTATTTATTGATTTAAGATTTGTTAAAAGAAACAACTAATATTGAAAATTTAACAGTTGACTTCTGTTTAAATAATGAAAGCAAAACGTGAAAGCAAAAAAGTATCAAAGCTAAAACAAAGAGTTATATGATTTCACAATCATGTCTCTTGAGTTTTTTTTTTTAGAAATTACGTAAAAAATATATGAGGATATAACTTTCTTTTTCAGTGTTTGATCACTATATGTATCAGGAAAAGCATGTACCTGTCTTAGATTACTTTTGACGCTAAAACCGTTAACGTAAGCCTTTCCGCTAGAAATCATTACATCACCAGTCAGCATTTTGAATGTTGTCGTCTTTCCTGCTCCATTCTGCCCCAACAGTCCAAAGCATTCTTGTTCAGATATCCCTACACTTATTCCCTTCACTGCATGAAACTGATCTATGAGGCCGTATGTTTTTTCCAAGTTTTTAATTATAAGTTTGTCGGTTTTCATTAGATCGCTCTGGTTAGTGGAGTTGACTCTCATCGCTTCTTCCAATACGTCCGAGTCCGGACTAGCGTTGTTATCACTCTGTGCATTCCCGGCTTTAGAGGTACACAGAGTTCTATACAACAGACGGTTGACTATTCCACTATCCAGTAGAAGTACGAAAGTCATATAAACTACACACTGTATGGCCATAAAAGACAGGTATTGACCACATCCGGGATAACCCCACTCTAAGTAGTTGTCATCAGGACACTGTTCTTTAAATCAAATTTAAAAGAAAACAAATTATTAAAAATAACATTTTATAAATTTCGTGAACATGAATGTTTCTTATCGATCGGATTTCTAGAATTTTCAGTGTCCTATTCTTTTCGATGAAAAACATAATTAAATCAATAAGACATTCGCTACAATATTATTTTTACAGGGATTTTTGACGGATTTGATAGAACGGTGTGAATTCTGCTCAGAAGAAGAAATAGTATTCTTGATAACAACAAGAGGCCCATGGGCCACATCGCTCACCTGAGAAGCGTTGACCATTCTGTTCTTTACCAGATTTCCTCCTTTTAATACATAATGCATCCCCACCCTACCCCACTGATCATAATTTAGACATTTAGAAATCTACACTACCCCAGGATCCTTCCATGTGCACATAAGTTTCAGCTTTTCTGGCCCAGTGGTTCTTGAGAAGAAGATTTTCAAAGATTTTTCCTATATATTTCTATGTAAAACTTTGATTCCCCATTGTGGCCCCGCCCTTCCCCCGGGGGTCACGATTTGAACAATTTAGAATCTACACTACCCCCAGGATGCTTCCACATAAGTTTCAGCTTTTCTGGCCCAGTGGTTCTTGAGAAGAAGATTTTCAAAGATTTTTCCTATACATTTCTATGTAAAACTTTGATTCCCCATTGTGGCCCCGCCCTTCCCCCGGGGGTCACGATTTGAACAATTTAGAATCTACACTACCCCAGGATGCTTCCACATAAATTTCAGCTTTTCTGGCCCAGTGGTTCTTGAGAAGAAGATTTTCAAAGATTTTTCCTATATATTTCTATGTAAAACTTTGATTCCCCATTGTGGCTCCGCCCTTCCCCCGGGGGTCACGATTTGAACAATTTAGAATCTACACTACCCCAGGATGCTTCCACATAAGTTTCAGCTTTTCTGGCCCAGTGGTTCTTGAGAAGAAGATTTTCAAAGATTTTTCCTATATATTTCTATGTAAAACTTTGATTCCCCATTGTGGCCCCGTCCTTCCCCCGAGGGTCATGATTTAAACAATTTAGAATCTACACTACCCCAGGATGCTTCCACATAAGTTTCAGCTTTTCTGGCCCAGTGGTTCTTGAGAAGAAGATTTTTTAATGACCCCACCTAAGAAGTCGAAAATGTGAAAAGTTTACAGACGGACAGACAGACGGACGGACGACGGACAAAATGTGATCAGAAAAGCTCACTTGAGCCTTCGGCTCAGGTGAGCTAAAAATTAGATAATTTTTTTTTTACAAGAATAGCCCTCTGTCAATGATTTCCCCATAAAATAAGAAAGTGTTCAATAAAAGTATTACCCAGAACAGAGCTGTGCTTAAGAGACTGACAAATACCTTTTTTCCCAATCAACGCTAAAAGATCCAGACTAAATTCTTGTTTACATTTAGATCGCAAAGAGTATCGGACATAGATGTCAGTAAATGTCTTTCCCAGACAGTAATGCGGAAGAAAGATCATAAATAAAACATCCATGGTCTCTGCTGCAGCTTTGGTCTTTTTACTTGGATAGAGAAATGTGACCGTTAGCAGTGTGAAAAGACCTGAAAGCAAAAGATCCATGACAAAAGAGACTGAAAAATCAACAGCATTCTCTGAAATAAATCGAATATAAATGTATATTAAATATATTTACATACGAAAACATTAAAATTAGATTCGAATGGAGCCAAATTTCAAATGTAAAACGCATCTCTAGATAATCTGTGCCTTCTGGTCTCTCGATTACCTTAGTATTCTTGTTCCATGTGCCTTGATTTGAAGTCATAGAAATAATTAATGTTGCTTTCCACAGACAATATTTATCTAACATGTTATGCGTATGTTTCACACTTATTTTGTAATGTTTAATAGTCGTCGAGAATACCACGCCTTTCTGAAGGTTAACAGATAATTGCAGGAATGGGTACTACTAAACAGAGAACCCTAGAGAACCTTAGAGAACACTAATAATTTTCAGTTATTTATTGTCTGTAAATGAAATATTTATATTTTAAATAACTAATATATCATGTAAAAACAAAATTAAATTTAAAAATATATATTTTAACAGGTTTTTTGCTTATTTTTACTGAGTACTATTATCTCTGAAGACTTCATAATAGCGTTGTAATAAAACTAGTAAGGAATTAATTGATATACTCTAGATCAGACTAAATTGTTAAAAATTAAACATATCATTGAATTAAATAAAAAATAATGCAAAAAGTAATAATGAAATTGAAATAATTTCGAAAAACAATATTTTTGAAATTCAATCGGGATCGAGATGTCATAAAATATTTCACCATCTATTTTGTTAATTTTTTTTTTTTGGTGAAAACTTCCATAAAATAACGTTTTGATTGATTTTATGCATAAAATATGATTTATTTAGTAAAAATCAACCCAACTATGCATAAAATGTATCAAAATTAACCATAAAAACTTAAGAGTTCTCTTGGGTTCTCTAGAGTTCTTTAGGGTTCTCTGTTTAGTAGGACCGGATAATTGCACTATTCTCTTTCTCTTGCATTTTATATGTTCAAGGATTTTACAATTGAACTATTTAGGCCTAGTCCCAGTTGAATTTCTAGATCTCCTGTCTTCAAATCATAGCTTCCTTTGCATCAGGAAAGGGATGGTACTGGATTTGAAAGTGTTAGAGTAACTCAGAAATTTGTAAATTATTTGTACAAAACAGTGGAATTTTTATTAACTCACCTGCTACCGTGTTGATAATAATCATAGCTACCGTTCCACCTGCAGGCGACCGGAAAATGAAATGTAGAAGATACATCCATGAAATTGATGCTAGGCCAAAAAGAAACAAACTTAGAAACACGATCCCTAGCCTGTTCTCCTCTGTGTATGCTGGAATTTGGAACGCAGCAAAACAAATCAGAATGAGGAAAATTGGGACTAGGTAATGGATAAAATCCCAGATGAGATTGGCCAACCAGAAGACTCTTGAGCCGACCCCGCTAACCTTTTGTAAGTGTTTGGCACCAGAAGATTTTTCTCTGATATGAAACACGCTGAAAGAAGCTACTAGACAGGAAAGTCCGAATAAGACACAAAGAGCAAGACTTAGTCCTTTGAAGGCTGCAAATCCTGCGCTCTGAGTTGAACGCTTTAATTCCTCACTCGGTGGAAATGGGTGATTTATGGTTTGTATGCTTTTGGAGTTCCCACAATAAAATTTAAGAAGAAAATCCATTGTATATGACAAGCTGATACCACTAGCGTGAATCACTTCACCGTTATAATAACTGATGATATCATTTCCATCGAATCCAAACCCAATGACATACCGTGAATTAAACGTTCTCTGTCCTATTTGTTTCGAGCGATCCAGCCAAAATTTATTTATGTTAAACTGGGTAGAATCCTTAGAGTCGTACACAGCCACACCCAGGCCCTTTTGACGGAAGTTTCTGGAATACTCCTGAATCATATTTTCTGATATTGGTGGGGAATAAATTCCTTTAGTGAGTGTTGTTATGGAGTTTGGATACGGTCGTAGATCTAAAGTCAGTGGTGGATCAGGATGGGGCTTAAGGCCATCAATTGACTGGTCAGCAAGAAGACCAGCTATCGCAAGCAAAATAGGCACAATGAGCTGAATTATGATCATAAATTTGCTCCGCCATGTATGTAATGCTTTCTTCATCAGTAATCCACGTAATTGCTGGAAAATGGCTGTAATTCCAGTGTTCTTTTCAAAGCCTTTGTTAAAGTCTGAAAAATTAAGAATAACATTTGTTCTTGGTAAATAAGCTAAGATTTCTTACTCTGTTCCGAGGTCTTTGTTAAATGTGTACCACTTTGAAGCTTAAATATATAATAGCAATTTTTAATTTTGATTGTTTCCCTCTTGTCAATCCTTACCACCATCCGCCCTTCTCCGGTAGAGGTATTCTCTTTAGATTTTTTTACTCTTTCTCTTTTTTGAAAAAGAGAAGGACCTGTCTATAATTAAGGTATAGATTGTACTACATACATGTAATCTACTGTGAACCATTAATTGTTACTTAGCTATCAATTTGTTCATTTTTCCACATTGAAATTGGGAGTTGCTTTAATAATTCTTTCACAACAAGAGATGTTTGTAAAACACTTATGCCCTCCCTCCCCTCAAATTGGAATTTTTCCAAGTCCAAAAGGGCATAACTCTGTCAAAAATGGCATGATTGTACCCAAAACAGAACTTGACCTAGATAGTCATCTGATAAATTCATCTCAGTATGTGCAACAGTTGCAAAGAAAATGAATGGAAACTGCAAATAATTGAAATTTTTCTATGTCCAAGGGGCATAACTCTGACAAAAATGGTGCGATCGTACCCAAAACAGATCTTGACCTAGATATTAATGTGATATATCTGTATACCAAATTTCATTTCAGTATGTGCAACGGTTGCAAAGAAAATGAGCGGAAACTGCAAATAATTGAAATTTTTCTAAGTCCAAGGGGCATAACTCTGTCAAAAATGGTGCGTTCGTACCCAAAAAAGTACTTGACCTAGATATTAATGTGTTATATCTGTATACCAAATTTCATTTCAGTATGTGCAACGGTTGCGAAGAAAATGAACAGAAACTAAGTGGACCGACAGACCGACCGACAGACAGCAGCAAAGCAATATGCCCTCCCTTCTTCGAAGGGGGTGATAATTATAAATGTACAGATTTTTCGATATGTATAATTAACGCTCCACCATCTAAAATTCAAAATTTTGTTTCTGTAGCTTTTGAAAAAAAATGTGGAGAGGTATTTTCAAGACATTGTTTACTATTATAGTAGATACAAGAAATAAATATGCTCGATGGCAAGACTTGATTTAAAAATTCTTCGAAAAAAAACATAACAATTTTAGTACTGGAAATGTCCCCTTTGTTAACATAAGTAAACTATATGAAATAGACAATGAGTTTCATTCATACCTATTTCATCATTTCTCTCCGTAGCATTTGGATGTAATGACGCGCCTTCATCAATATGCAGTTGTACACAGTGAGTGTCTGTTTCGTCATCACAGTAAGCTTTATTACCATTCCCAGCATTGTCTTTTACCCTGTTTATTTAAAAAGAAGAGGCAAATATTTAATGTCCACTGGAAAATTATTTGAAACTGTAATTTTACAGTCATCAGGAAAAGGGTATTTGATGAAAAAATCCGAGAAAGACGAGCTTGGAATTATATAGAGAGAAAATTTTCGCAAATGTTATATTTACTAAATTTATTACTAAAAATATTTACTAAAATTTAGTCTCCGCGATTAGAAAACAGAGTTAATTTTTTTTCAGAGTGAGAAGTAGCTTAATTACCCATTAAAGAGTATTTCCATGAATTGCTGATTGTTTATAGGGAGAGTGACTGCATTTAGATTAAATGCTAGATTTATGATGATTTTTTGTTCATGAATTCTGTCATTTCTTTGTTTTGTTCTAAACATTCTGTTAATTCAATACCACCTCAAAAGAAAATGTCTGGTTAACTGTGAACTACTCGTCAACTGAATACAATAATGTTCAATGTTGGGTCTGTCTTACTGTCATTGCGAAAAATTATATACATGCCAGCTTGTATTCACATATGATATCCATGTACATATTGTTAAGAACCTCTTAAGATTGTTAGATCACAACAATGAATAGTGTACGCCACAGAAATGAAAAATGAGGAAGACGTGTTAAAAAGGGGGGAAAAATAAAAAATAAATCTCGATTAATTTACTCATAATTGATGACTAAACAATAATTAAACCACTGTTTCTCACTTTAAAAAAACTTCTTCCATTGTTGTCGCAGACATCCCAAAGCTACTTATTCCAAATTTCAGGGCATTCTCCTCTATTTCGGTAAACAGGCCTTCAAATGAAGGCGCCCCTTCCGTAGGAAGAAGAAAAGACAACTCCGCGCCGATCTCAGTTTCCAAGAAGGCCGAGGGAATGTGCCTCTTTATTGTGTTCAATAATTTTGCAACATCACAATGTGGTTCCTTCACCATTACTAGATGATAACCAGCACCTGTTAATAACACAAAAAACTGAATGATTAAAATTAACGGAGACAAATGCAAAACAGTCAACGTCCTCAATGAACAATTTTCATATTCTTTCCCTTTTTGTCTCTTAATTTCTCGTTGAAAAGTGTTACATATGTTAATTTATTTTTGGATTTAGGGCAATAAATATCCATGATTACTGCTCATCACACATAAACTATCTAAGTATAAAAGACAATTTTTTTCATTAAAATTCAGTCAATATTGATAATATATCTTTGAAATATAACCTAGAAGCCTAAAAGCTTAATGATCATTATTTATTAAAGTGCTTACATTTTGCAGCTATCCTTGAGAGTTCTTTTTTACACTTATTATTACATATAGCTTTCTCATTGGGTTCTGAATTCTCAAAGACTTCTAACTTTTATTCATCTTTTAAAAAAGAACAGTAGACCACATATATTCTACGTAATGTAGATCACATATATTCTACGTAATGTAGATCACATATATTCTACGTAATGTCCCCTATAAAGCAGTCCTTATTCTAGTCCTGCCCAAACTCTGTTAATCCTCTTACAAAGAGGCAAGAAATAAAACCTCTCGAAATATATTTTTTAAAAAATTATAAATTACACAATAAACAAGAGGCCCACGGGCCTTATAGGTCACCTGAGCATTATGCAACAATTTTCCAGTTATTGAATTTGATTCATGTTTTAAGCCAGATGCTATATGTCATTCACAATTTTGAAAGAGGCACCATTGATCATCATAACAATACACTTAGCAGTTGCTTAGCTTGGTTACTGAATACCCATATGCAGGGTAGGGGAACAAAAATGCATTCCAACTAAACAGTAGTGCCCCTAACACTGTGACATAAACCCCTGACCCTAGGTCCACACATTGCACAAATTTCAAAAAGGCACCCTTAATATCAAAAAATAAATAAATGTTTTATAGATACAAAAGAGCAGATTTCAAACAATAAATTCATTTTCAGTATATAAGTAGAGCCCCCACCCCACCCCTGACCCTAGGGCTTTGAAATTCACAATTCTGCAAGATTAGGGCCCTTGCTCATCATAACTATAAGGTAGTTCATCTACTTTATACCCAGAGACAAAGAAAAAAAAATTTCAAAGATTTAATATATTTTCATTATATAATCAATTGAGCCCCGCCCCCCTTACACCAGAACCCCTGACCCTGGGGCCATAAAATTCATAATTTTAAAAGAGGCATTCTTGCTCATCATAACTATGTACTTAGTTTACTTAATTCCTAGGAGCAGAGAAGAAGATTTTCAAAGAATTCATGTATTTTCAATATATAACAATAGAGCCCTGCCCTAACACCAGAAACCCTGACCCTGGGACCATGAAATTCACAATTTTGGTAAAAGCACTCTTGCTCATCATAACTATGCACTTAGTTAGTTTATTTAATACCTAGGAGCAGAGAAGAAGATTTTCAAAGAATTTATGTATTTTTACTATATATAATCTATAGAGCCCTACCCTAACACCAGAACCCTTGAGCCATAAAATTCACAATTTTGGTAGAGGCACTCTTGCTCATCATAACTATGCACTTAGTTGGTTTATTTAATACCTAGGAGCAGAGTAGAAGATTTTCAAAGAATTCATGTATTTTCACTATATAATCAATAGAGCCCCCCCCAACACCTGAACCCTTGACCCTGGGGCCATAAAATTCACAATTTTGGTAGAGGCACTCATGCTCATCATAACTATGCACTAAGTTAGTATATTTAATACCCAGGGGCAGAGAAGAAGATTTTCAAAGAAATCATGTATTTTCACTATATATAATCAATAGAGCCCCACCCTAACACCAGAACCCCTGACCCTGGGGCCATAAAATTCACAATTTTGGTAGAGGCACTCATGCTCATCATAACTATGCACTTAGTCAGTATATTTAATACCCAGGGGCAGAGAAGAAGATTTTCAAAGAAATCATGTATTTTCACTATATATAATCAATAGAGCCCCGCCCTAACACCAGAACCCCTGACCCTGGGGCCATAAAATTCACAATTTTGGTAGAGGCACTCACGCTCATCATAACTATGCACTTAGTTAGTATATTTAATACCCAGGGGCAGAGAAGAAGATTTTCAAAGAATTCATGTATTTTCACTATATATAATCAATAGAGCCCCACCCTAACACCAGAACCCCTGACCCTGGGGCCATAAAATTCACAATTTTGGTAGAGGCACTCTTGCTCATCATAACTATGTACTTAGTTGGTTTATTTAATACCCAGGAGTAGAGAAGAAGATTTCCAAAGAAATAATGCATTTTCACTATATACTTATTTAGCCCCGCCCTAGCACTAGAACCCCTGACCCCAGGGCCATGAATTTCACAATTTTGGTAAAGGACTCAATGCTGATTACAATCATGCAAACAGTTTGACTGCTTGATGTCCAGGAGTAAAGAAGAAGATTTTTAAAGATTGCATTAATTTTAGTGGTTTTGGCCCCACCCCTCAGGCCCCAGGGGTCAGGGATCATGAAATTCATAATTTTTGTTCCCCTTCACCCATAGATGCTTTGTGCCAAATTTGGTTGAAATTGGTTCAGTGGTTGCAGAGAAGAAGCTAAAAATGTTCAAATGTTAACACACGACGGACGACGAACGACGGACGACGACGGACGAAAACGGATAGCAATAGGTCACCTGAGTTTACTCAGGTGACCTAAAAATCAAGAAAACATATAATATATAGATGAAGTAGGTATTCTTAAGCTTCTTAAACATACCATAAAGAGTTTTAAGGAACAATGAAGAACCATAGCACTTGACAACTCCGTCAGCCATAATAGCAATACGGTCACCTAGAACATCAGCTTCATCCATGAAATGAGTTGAAAGTACTATAGTTCGATCCTCTTTAAATTTCTGAAGAATGTCCCACATTTGGCGCCGTGCCCCAGGATCCATACCTGATGTAGGTTCGTCTAGTATGATTACCTAAGTTATATATAAGTCTATTCCATAAACAATCAATTTAAAAAAAATGAAACAGGCCATTGATAAATATGTTGATTTTACAAGGA